CTGCCTCGGTGTTTACACAGCACCTCTGTGGTGGCATTAAATGCAATGCAGAAATAAAAAGATGCCTTCCCTGCCCAATGAGTTTATAACCTGGACAGTGATGGGAAATGACTGTGGAAATAGGGAAGAGATGGGGAAGAGAAGATAAATGAAATACAGAGGACACAGTGCATGGGACAACAGGACGAGAAGTGACTGGGGACGTTGACTGCAGCCTCCTGCAGGCAAACTTCTACCATGTTCTGCACACACTAGCACATAGGTACCGCAGCTTGTAGCAGCTCGTTCTTCTATTTTCTAATGTGCAAATCTTGCAAAGCAGGACTGAACGAGTTTTTTAAAAACAGAGACTTAGGCTGAAGGTATAAAGACTGGGAGAGGAATCTAAGGGTAAAAGGAGCAAGGGTGGGTGCCCCAGAGAGAAGAGGGGGAGTTGTATCAGCACCCAGGCTGGTAAGCAGAAGCTGTCAGCATCACGACCAGCGGCTGTAGATGAAATGTGCTGTGATTGCTCTGGCAGATACGGTCACTGGCTGACAGAGAGAGCAGACACATGTGAATTACACCACCATCAGAAAAAATCCCTGAGGAGTGAACACGCCAGAGGTTTAAGACGTCAGTGGAGAAACAGAAATAAACCAACTAGTTTTGCAAATTGCCAGTGCTGGAAATCAGCCATGAGTTAAGGACTGCACTGCACAAGCAATTATACCTGATTACAGGCACTCCGCTTTTTTAATAGTAGGCCATATTCTGGCGTGATGTATAAACTATAATTTCCCTATAGAAGTCTATTTTATAGAATGCGCAGACAGGTACAGTCTCACTCACACCCACGGTAACCATCTGGGGTCTGTATTTTTGTTTACTGGCTTGTGTAGCATTTATACTATTATAATATAAATTTATAATATTACATAGATCAGTAAGCTACTACTGTAATCAAGCAGGAGATTTCTCAGCTCAGTACACTGAATAATATAATTTAAACTGCCATTATGAACCACATATTGAAAGCGTATTGAAATTAAGAGACTTCTTAGTACAAGTATGAAATAAAGACATAAAGAAGACACTCTGGGGAGGCTCTGGCTGGCCTACACCTTTGGCTGCCTGTTTCTGTTGTACCACCGTGTGCTCTCTGAGCGCAGGGAACACCTGAACGCTCCGGTTCTGTTTGTCAGGTTCTGGTTTGGCCCAAGCGCTCTGCCAGCAGGGACCGTAGGCTAAAGCCTTGTTTTTCCTCCTGACCTTCACTGCACTCAGTTGTCCATGTGGGAGTGAAATTGCTGTAATTTCGTTCACCCGTCAGTGTTCCAATCTGTCCTAATACAAATTCTCTTGTACTCTTCTTTGCCAGGATAACCAGTAGTGCTTCCAGAGCTGCAAATGCTGGGAAGTCTGGCTGCACTGGCATCGTCTGGTAGGCGCGGGAAGGAAATCAAAACCCTTCACAAGACGAATCCGGGAGGATTGTAAGCTTCAGTAGGAAGAAATCTGGTTCTGTCCACCTCCATGTTCTACTTCATCACTAGCAAATGCGAGGATGTGAACAGTCAGCAAGAAAGAAACTGAAACAGAGCAATCGCCTTGGTCTCTGAGGCGTATTTAAGACCTAGGATCACGCTGTTAACAAACCCATTGTGATAATTATTTCACTTGCCTTACAGGAATTTTGCTAAACATGGTGGTATAAACCAGTGACTCATTAGCCCAAAAAAAGTCGTGGTCTGCATTTGAAGGATGGGAGCATGAGGTCTGGAGCCAGCTCAGTATCACATCAAAGAAGTGTTTAATAAGTGATGCCTAATGGCTATTATGCAAATTGTTAATGGTAATTACAAGCGACAAGATAAAATCATATTCGGTGTGGTTGCACAAACATCACTGAAGCAATGCTTATGAAAGCAAAGTTCTGTCAAATTAGACGCACCCTTCTTGTAGTTGACACAAGAAAACATTATCAGCTTTGATAAGTACAGCGAGCAGAGCGTGGAAGAGACAGGCTGACATTTTGCAAAACGGCTGAGCACTGGGACAGTCAGTTCTTACAGGACCAAATTCCACTGCGCACAACATCCCTTGAAGATGTAACATCTTCTGGCCTCCTCCTGAGCTGCTCATGGCTATGTGTCAACATTTGCAATTATTACCTCTTCATCTTTTCCGTAAGGCCCGCAAGACTTAACAGCGTTTGCACTGACGTTGCGCTGAGACCACTGCTAATCACGCTGGCTAACAGCCCGTCATTCCTTCCTTTACTTCCATCTGTATGAAACCATTTGCTTCCTCCCGTCTTACATTTAGGTTGTAAATCTTTCTGGGACATTTTTATGTCTTAGACTTGTACAGTCCTTTCCTACATATTGTCCTGCCCCAAGGCTATGCTCCTAAGCTACAGGAATACAAATAATAAAAGTGGGGGTAAAGAAATCAGTTCAGTGGGGAAAAAAGCTGGGCCTGATGGATGCTTCAGAACAAGTGAGGTCTCAGAGCCGAGCTTCGGAACCCCGACACGGTTGTAAGGAGCGGGGCAATACCACGCTGCCTGGAGTGAAACTACCACGCGGCCGTGCGAGCTGCCCGCCTGCCAGCAAACACAGCTGCAGCTACCCAACACAAGTGAGGAAAAAAATCAAACTGGTTTTAAAACACAGTCTGGTTAGTCAGGGATTGGCTTTTGAATGCATTTGCTGTATCAGCCCCATGTTCCTTGTCTCAGTGAAACTGGGAGGAGCCCAGTAAAGCTCCAAAGAATGTAATTATATCCCAAATATGAGCACTGTGGAAGAATTGTATGATTGTTTCTAATCCTCGCTGGTAAAATGTGATTCTGTAGTCTGTGGACCTTTCAGCCACGACATATGTAAAAGGTTGTTCAATGCTGCAAGCCAGTTTTGTAGAGCAAGACCTACCCCTTCTTCCTATTAGGCAATTGCTGAAAGAAGTAGGTGTAGGTGCTCCTTGCTCACCCGTAGACAAATGTCCAATATCTGCAATGTCTCCTCCTAAATCTAAGACTCTGAAAGGGAAAGGCAACCCCAACCCAGAGCACTGCTCTCTGTAGATCACCATTAGGTAAATTCTGAAAGCCTACACAGCAGAAGCAAGCTCCAAACAACCCAGACATTATATTAATTTCTGTTGGCCCTTATGGCCACACCCTGTCTTCAATTACATTCCTCAAAATGGCGGATGAAAGGCAGATTTACTCCCTATCCTCCTTTTTGCTCATGATTTTCACTGTTGTGAGTCTAGGCTATGTGGGGAGCATGGGAGATGTGTTTCTAGGAGGAGGACGGACTTGTATTTCAGGCACTGCAGTCTTAACTAAGAATCTGAGCTCTGACAGACTCCAGCTCTGTCCTTGAGCAAGTTATTTCACTTAACCACCTAAATAATGAATATTCTCGGATGCTGCCAACCTTGGGTAGGCGTCGTTTTATCATTTCTGATCTAAGTAAAGAAAGAAATTATCTCACTGGAGAGTGGAGAGTCCTAACTTATGCTGGTGAGAAGATGAGAACTTCTATGCATGCTTGGGGACATTCTCCTACCATGGTGACAGAAGCCATCTAACTGCACCCATAGTACGCCTTCCCACCAGTAAATAAGAGGTGGTTGAGTGTAAGAGTGCAGCTTTTTTCTTCCCTTCTGTCTGGAGGTGATGGCTGCTCTCAGGGCTCCTTGTCAGGTATCACGCTCACCACCAAAGAGGATTTATCACAACTGATCCTGTAAATATGGACATGCTTGAGTCAAAGGTTACTTGTGAGTAAGAGTTGCTTGGAAATTCTGCCCTGTAGGGAACAGAAGGCTCTGTCCCCTGGAGAGCGGAATATCCTCTCATTACAGCAGTCTTCTGGAGAAAGGCACTTGCACTGGTGGAGCCAGTTCTCCCAACGCTCCTCTGGCCGTTGCTCGCCTGGTTTTGGAGATCGTGCTCCCATGACGAGCTAGGCTGTGCTAACGCCTGCTACTTCTCTGACAAACTTGGTTAAGAAATGCTCAGCACAATTTTAGTAATGACAAGGACCTGCAGGATCACATCTCAGTCCATCCAGGGAACTGGATATATCGCCCATGGATACTCCCTTTCCTGTCATCTCTTTCTCAATCTACGATCACCACAAATTGAGGCAGCATGGACAGCAATTAAAGTAACTGAAAAATAACTTCAGAGAGATACTTCACACACTTCAGCTTACATCAAGTCTGTGTAACATCTAGGCACAGAGATAAACGGGGACTTCTAACATTTAGCAGGCCTGATCTTCGCAGACTGTGAGCAAGTTGGCTTCTTGTGTTTGCATGACCAGAGAAATATAAGCCACCAATGGGGAACTAAACCCACAGGATAATTACCTCAGGGATCTAAGAAATCTCACAGTAAAGCATGTTAGACCCACTGTCTGTCATTGTACCAGGTCACAGACATCTACACCAAGATAGCCCAGGCCTTTTCACTGCTACGGTCACTATTATTCACACGTTTCAGAAGTAAGAATTTATATTAGCTTCTCATTTTTGTTCCACGTAATCTACCATAGCATGTGGTATAAAAATGTTTATTGGACTAAGAATAAAATAAATACAAATTAATAAAAGATAAAAGGCACTTTGATGTTATAAATACCAACGTTTCTTCTTTGTACATAATCTAGGGCAACTTTTTTTCTTGACTTGTTGTAAAGTTTGCATCATACAAAAAGCTGATGACTCATAAAACATTATTTTACTTTTTGGAATAAGCTGCTGACATGTAAAGTATCTTCCTTGTGAACTGGGATTTCTAGAGGGAAACTGCCTATGGGCTATTTATTCTTGGCATAAACAGCAAGACTAGCCAGCCCCGTGGGAAGAAGAAACACCCTGTAGGTGACACCCCCTTTGGAAGGTATAAATAGAGATCTGCGGCAACAACCAACCTGCAGTCTGATTCAATATCAAGCTGTGCATCTTGCTTTGGGCTTTGGGCTGGATCTGCAGCTGTCCTCAAAATGAGTTGTAGTATTAAGCAGACACCTGGCTCTCTCAGGGGCAGGACCAGTGGTGGCAGCTGTGTTATTGGTGGTGGTGGTGGTGGTGGAGGAGCACGGATCTCCTCGGTCTCTTCTGGAAGATACACGACTTGCGGGATAGGTGGTAGCCGAGGGTTTTCTGGTAGAAGCTACTGTGGTGGTGTGAATTACGGAGGAGGACTGAGCACTGGCAGTTTGGTTGGTGGAAACTATGGAGGTGGCTTAGGAGCTGCTGTCCTCGGAGGATGTTCAAGCATTGGATTCAGCGGTGGCAGTGCTCGCTTTGGCGGTGGCATTGGTGGTATTGGTCTTGGTGGAGGGGTAGTTGGAGGTGGTTTTGCTGGTGATGGCATTCTTCTTTCTGGTGATGAAAAGGTTACCATGCAGAACCTTAACGACCGCCTGGCTTCTTACCTGGACAAGGTGAGATGCCTGGAACAAGAAAATGCTGACCTGGAGTGCAGAATCAGGGAGTGGTATGCCAAGCAGGGCCCTTTTTGTGAGCCACGGGACTACAGCTGCTATTATAAAGAAATAGAAGATCTTCAAAATCAGGTAACAGCATTTCTCAGCTGCTTTCTCCCTTGTAAGCTTCTCCCACAGTGTTGGTTCACAGCTTAATGCAGTTATCAAGGGTAACATTTCACCCTTGTAAAATGCTTTCTGTAAACAGCCATTAAGACTACTGCCTGTAGAATGCCCTAGAGCTCAAAGGGGAAAACCTTGAGTGTTTGGACTGTTTCAATTGCTTTTATTCACCAGATATATTGAAAGGGGAAAATGTTGACTTCATGGAATACATCTGGATTGGCTCAGTAGCCTTTCTGAATTAGGTTTGTGCCAAGGTGTTTAAATAGATATATGCCAAGAAAGCAACTAAAAGAGAAAGAAATAATGTATCGCATTAATTTGTCTGAATCTATTTTGTTCTGCCATCAGTCTTGTAGAATTCTAGTTAAATGTTATTTCCTTTTTTTTTTTACAAGTTTACTTTCATACAGAATTGGGAAATATAGGACATTTAATTAAAAATAAGAGCAAAGAGAGCATTGCCATAACACTCTCTGAGTATGCAATTTAAAATTAAAAATGTTTGCAAAATGCTTGGCAAAAATTCTAGGACGTCAACCCACAAAGAAGAATAAAGTGAAAAGAATCCAGGAAACAGACAGGGTGAGACAGACTTATAATTAAGTCTTGAAACAAAGCTTTTAAATCTCCTATCCATGAAAGTAAGATTTAGATTTCAAAGGTTAGGTGGATTGTGGCAGGCGCTGGACAACAGCAATTATACCTCCCTGTCTGCATCTGAACCACGTATTTTATCATTTTGATGCCTTCGCAGTACTTCACTGAACACTCACCCCTGTGACTGCTGTACTCCTCAACTCCCTCGTGCCTGCTACCCAATATTAAAAAAAAAAGAGAGAGAGAAAGAGGTTAGGTCTGGTAGCACTGGTCAAGGGGTACACTTGAGCCTGAGGATCCAGGGAGGAGACTTCAGGAGTGAATATTCTTTTTCCAGATCGTCTGCGCAACCATAGACAACAACAAGATCATTTTGAACATTGATAACAGCAGGATGACAGCCGACGACTTCCGAGTGAAGTGAGTAGCCCTTGGCACACAGCTGTCCCCTTCCTCGGTCACCGCGCTCCCGCTCACAGAGAGGATGAGGAGCTCCCAGGCAGGTCTCCCGTGATCCTCTGGTCAGGACAGGCTATGCAGAAAAGCTCTTTCATCCACTGTCTCCAGAGCTTCCTTAATTAGTGGCAGTTCCAGGATGGAAAGTTTGGGACAACAAGGTGGTTTTGAGCGGAGATTAGAGTCCTCCAGAAAGCAGAAGGGATCAGCAGGCAGGGAGCAGCGTGGGTTCACCTGAGCTGCTATTCTGGCACGTGGTGCCTCTCAACGGGGAAACTTTTGGTTTCTTCCTCTTGGAGCACAGAAATGTGGTGAGTGACACCTCCGCCCCAGTGAAAAAGCTCCAGAGGAGGCACCCCGAGAGCAGGTTTGATGGAGCAAGCCTCAGACTGCTTCTCTTACCATCCTGTGAGACTAGTTAGGAAAATACTGTGAGAAAGATGGATGGTCAAATGGGAAAAAAAAAAAAAGAGCAAATGGTGGTGTCAGACACTGACTACTCTTTCTTGCTTTCTTTCTTGCACAAACCAGGTACGAGACAGAGCTGGCCCTGCGCCAGAGCGTGGAGGCTGACATTAACGGCTTACGCCAAGTCCTGGATCAGCTGACGCTCTGCAGGTCTGACCTGGAGGCACAGCTGGAGTCGCTGCGGGAGGAGCTCTGCTGCCTGAAGAAGAACCACGAGGAGGTAGGGTCCTGCCCCTCTCGTGTCAAAAGAGTTAATTCATGCAGGCTCCATCACCCTCCCTTTCCGTGGTCCCTACCCCTGGGGTGCTGGCTGTGGAGGGGCAAGGGGTTGATGGAGGTGGTACGTGTGAACTGGGATCTGTCCAGCAGAGAGGGTCTGGGCCAGGGGCTCTGCTCTTCCCTACAGGGGAACTAAGCTCCCTCGTTTTTTTCCTTCTTTTTAAAAAATTATGTGATCTGGGTGGTGTTTCCAGGAAATGAACTGTCTGAGGAAACAGTCGACTGGAGATGTGAGCGTGGAGGTCAATGCCTGTCCCGGCCCAGACCTCAGAAAGATCCTGGAGGAGATGAGGTGCCAGTATGAAACACTGATTGAACGCAACCGCAAAGAAGTTGAGGACTGGTATGAATGCAAGGTGAGCGAATTTACTCAGCTCTGACTTTCCCAGGCTAACACCCAGGCAATGGTTCCGCAGTGATTTATTACGTGTTAAAACCACACAACATACTATAACAGCATTCAGCGTTGGTTTAAACTGACCCAGGGGACATTGCTACTCTGCGTCCTTTTCATGGGGTGACAGGAATTGCTGCATGTTCGTGAGACTTGAGGTGGGATCCCTTTACAAAGCGGTATGTGGTGAGAAGCACTGGACAGCAGTACTACTGGAAGAGCAGGAGGACTGACGAGAAGGGTTTACGCTCCATTAGGATGAGAGAGTTCACCCAAACCTTTCCCATTTCATGTTTGTTTGCTAGCTTCTCTGCTCTTTCCTTAATACTTAATGAGTTACATTACACATTCCCTGAACGCTTTTATTCTGGATTGGTGATTTTCAGATTGAGGAGGTGAATCGGGAAGTTATTACAAGCGGTCAGGAGGTAGAGACGTGCAACAACCAGGTTACTGAATTGAGACGCCAATTGCAAGCCCTGGAAATCGATCTCCAGGCTCAGCTCAGCCAGGTGGGTGATCTGGTGTAAAGCTCAGCTGTCTCACAGTTACGCTTTGGTGTAAGAATTCGTAGTTAAATGCAGTGTTTCTCATGCCTGTATTTGTATTGTGCCACACGTCACTCCTCAGAGGGACAACCTGGAATCCTCGCTGGCTGAGACAGAGTGTCGCTACAATAACCACCTTGCTGAGCTCCAGAGCCAGATCACATGCGTGGAGCAGCAACTGGCTGATCTGCGTGCAGAAATGGAGTGCCAGAACCAAGAGTACAAGATCCTGCTGGACGTCAAATGCCGTCTGGAGCAGGAGATCCATACATACCGCTGCCTGCTGGAGGGCGGACAACAGGACCTCATGTAAGTAGGCAGAGCGAATTTACTCAGCTCTGACTTTCCCAGGCTAACACCCAGGCAATGGTTCCGCAGTGATTTATTACGTGTTAAAACCACACAACATACTATAACAGCATTCAGCGTTGGTTTAAACTGACCCAGGGGACATTGCTACTCTGCGTCCTTTTCATGGGGTGACAGGAATTGCTGCATGTTCGTGAGACTTGAGGTGGGATCCCTTTACAAAGCGGTATGTGGTGAGAAGCACTGGACAGCAGTACTACTGGAAGAGCAGGAGGACTGACGAGAAGGGTTTACGCTCCATTAGGATGAGAGAGTTCACCCAAACCTTTCCCATTTCATGTTTGTTTGCTAGCTTCTCTGCTCTTTCCTTAATACTTAATGAGTTACATTACACATTCCCTGAACGCTTTTATTCTGGATTGGTGATTTTCAGATTGAGGAGGTGAATCGGGAAGTTATTACAAGCGGTCAGGAGGTAGAGACGTGCAACAACCAGGTTACTGAATTGAGACGCCAATTGCAAGCCCTGGAAATCGATCTCCAGGCTCAGCTCAGCCAGGTGGGTGATCTGGTGTAAAGCTCAGCTGTCTCACAGTTACGCTTTGGTGTAAGAATTCGTAGTTAAATGCAGTGTTTCTCATGCCTGTATTTGTATTGTGCCACACGTCACTCCTCAGAGGGACAACCTGGAATCCTCGCTGGCTGAGACAGAGTGTCGCTACAATAACCACCTTGCTGAGCTCCAGAGCCAGATCACATGCGTGGAGCAGCAACTGGCTGATCTGCGTGCAGAAATGGAGTGCCAGAACCAAGAGTACAAGATCCTGCTGGACGTCAAATGCCGTCTGGAGCAGGAGATCCATACATACCGCTGCCTGCTGGAGGGCGGACAACAGGACCTCATGTAAGTAGGCATGAGATGTACCAGACGATACAATAAAATACGCGTGTCCTGGGTATCTTAACATAAAAGCAAAGTGAGCAATAGGTGGAGGCACTGCACAGCTACTTCACCCTCACTGACCTATTCTGGCTGCCTGGTAATCACCGGTGATAGTTTGCGTCCCTACCCTGGGCCGGCCATTGCCACAAGAAGAAAGGTCACTGCAATATTCTGCCAATTTTATGCCGAAGAGGAAAACAGATTTGGAGCAGCGGGGACAATGAACAAACTGTAGTTCTAGTTTATCTGTAATTTCTTTTACTAAAATGTTATTTTCCCATTCCCTTAGTCAGCAAGGAGGAATTGGTCAGTCTTCGGGTCTAGGAGGAGGAGTTGCAAGAACAAGTGGAATAGGAGGAGGAGGTATCATTAGAACAAGCCACACTTACACTTCATCTTCCCAGATGCCATCTTGTGCAGCTGCGGAGATACAAGGTAAGACCTGCAACACTCTGTGAGATTTCCACAGTCTTCTCTATTATAAAACAACAAGGACAGGCAGCAACAGAGGTCTTTCCCACGTAGCTTACAGGTGCTATTTGAAGGTTTTATTGTGAGGCAACTGGGAAATACATGATGGGAGGCCACAGAGGAGTGGCTACAACAAGCGCTTTCAGGAGCTGTGGCTCTGCTAGGAAGCACGGGAACTGAAAAAAGGGAGGAGGGGGAAGAGGGATAGAAAGGAAAAGGAGGGAGTCAGCAGGCAGGAGAGCCACAGAGAACATGGAGAAAGGACTGACGTGAAATCTGGGACAGAGGAAAGAGTAGGAGAAAGCAGAGCGCCCAGAAATCAGAAAAAAAAAAAAAAAAAATCAGGAATCATGGGAATACTGGCAGAAAGCAACCAGTAGTATTTCAGGGGGAAACTTCAAGCCAACCTGAAAAAGAAAGAAAGAAATATGGTGCCAGTGGGTCCCAGAGAATGAGTGGGAGCAGGGGCACTGTTCTGGCAAGGACCCTGATGCCATTCCCTCATCCAGGTCACTGCTGGTACAATGTCTGCAGCTTCCACCATTTGGCAATTTTATGTAAAAGGACAAACCATGCTCACGCTAGCTGCAAATCCCATCTGCCTGACTGGCAGGCAGCAATCAGACCTTTCCAGGAAGACACAGTATTTATCTGAAATTCTAATTGAACTGGCTTGTGAAATGATCACGTGTATAGGATGACAGTGTGGGAAAGAATCTATTTTTGCTATAAACAAAGTAACGTTTCCTTTGATCTCTCCAGTGCCTTGCAGAAGGATTTGTGATTAAGCAAAGAAATGAGAATATCCAACAAAAGAACCCTGAAGCAGAGCCATGGATAAAGAGAGAGAATATTTACTGTATGCCTCTGCAAAGAGCAAGGAGCGTACTCTGTTGTATTACTCAGCGATGCTAAGCAATGTGTCAGAGGGATAAGGAGAGCGTTGGGCCACATTCTGCTTTATTTTGCTACTTGCTTTTTCCAGTCTGTATTGCTGCGTGTGCCCAACCACCATGACTATTGCTGGAGTCAGCCAGCAGTATGTTCACTAATGTACCTGCTGGTGAAAAAATTGCTCTAATAAAACTTTGCTTCTGCCTGATGCAATCAAGAAACCCGTGTCTGGAAACTGAGTTCCTTTAGAAAACCAGGTGCTGACCCAGGTGCAAATCACAGCCCCAGCCGAGCTAGCTAGCCTGTGCAATGGTCCCAGCAGGAAAAGCTGGAAACCCACGCCCAAGGGTCACCTAGACTGGTCAGGATCATACTCCACTGGGAACAAAGCTGCTTTGCCAGTGGGAGCCAGAGAATGGCCTTGCTGAGCTTGCAGGTCTTGTCCGCCTCCTCCCTGCCAAAGCCTGTAGCATATAGAATCACTAAGGTTGGAACAGACCTCCACGATCATCAAGTCCAACCATCAACCCAACACCACCATGCCTACTAAACCATGTCCCAAAGTGCCACTTCTGCACATTCTTTGAACACCTCCAGAGATGGTGACTCCACCACCTCGCTGGGCAGCCCGTTCCAATGCTTGACCACTCTTTCAGTAAAGAAATTTTTCCTAATATCCAATCGAAACCTCTCCTGATGCAACTTGAGGCCCATTTCCTCTCGTCCTATCGCTTGTTACTAGCCTCAGGCTAGTGCTGACACGTCTGGGCTGTGCCCTCTCATACTTCATCATCCAGCCCGGGAACTGTGATTAGGTTGAAGAGGAAATCTTGGTCTCCACAACTGACTCAATTTCTGCTGACATAGCTTATATTCTGACCTACCCCTTTCATTTCATAGGAGTCTTCTGACTGGGAAAAGGACTGGAGGCAAAAGGTTTATTTCCTATCTATTTTCACATAGCGGCTGAGTCATTTACTGGTCATCTTTCTATTTCAAAGAGTTTCAACCAGAACATCAGGAACTGTCAAAGATCATCTTTACAGTAAACATACCTCTTCGAAGAACTGGACAGGGCAGGATGGGAGCTGAAAAAGTGCAGCTCAACAGAGAATACAATGAAGAAAACAGCGAGCTAGGGCCTCTGGAAACCCAGAGCCATTATGCCTTAAACCTCACAAGCAAGGCAAAGATTGCCCCCTCCTTTGGGCCTCCAAGAAAAGCCACGTAGCTGATGCTGCGTCAGTGTGGACTGGCATGGTAGTGTGCATGCCTCCTGACACTGGCCTGCCTAGAGAAGCGAGGGCAGCAGTTTGGTAGCTCAGGGCCCTGGAGCACTTTTGGTGGATGCAGCCAGGGGAACTGGTCATGGTGAGCTTGCAGAGCCATTCTGGGTTTGGAGAATTTTCAGTTAAAAGCCATTATGAGCTGGAGCGTGTTTTGAGGATTAAATTGTCTGTTGGTCCAGAAAACCAAGCACTGATCGGTTTTACACGTTCACTCCACCCTGCAGGTTCACAGCTAAACCAGCAGCACTGAATATGGCTGCTGTTATTTCTGGTATGCTGTGATGTGGCTGTTAGAGAAAGAGTCATATTCACTTGTGAGATGACCTGGCAAAGCAAAACTCCTGGTCAGTCCTTTTCTGTCAAAAGCTGGAGGTTATGGAACAGCCAGCCTCGGGGCAGGAGGAGAAAGGGTACAAAGACAAAAAGTTTCAAAGACAAAAGAGTTTCAGGACCATGTATACAGTATAGTGTGGTGCACTTTTCTAGCATCAGTTCTTTTATATAGGCACCAACTTCTCTGTTGGTACAGAAATAGACTTAACACAACCTGAAACCTTCCAGGAAAGCAGCATCTCCAAGGCCCATACGTAGCAAATGTCTGAAGAAGCTCAATCATTAATGTATCAGGGAGCAGGTGAAAGACGTCCTTCTCCTGCTGTAAAAGACCATGGAGAGACGTCTCAGTTGTTTTTCTTTTCTTTCACCTACCAGACACTAAACCCAGTGGTATCCAGGGGCTAGAGCAAAATAAGAAAATGCAGCACTGGAACAACTGCAATAATGACTCAGAAGAGCGGCCATAGGTAGAAGTTTTTAAACCAAGACTCTAAATCAAGTCTTCTTTAAAGATCAGTTCCAGCCTTACAGAAAGTTCCAGACTTGATGCAGAAATCTCTCAGTAGCTGTGTAAGGCCAGCACTTTACAAGAGATCAAAAGAGATACTTGTCATGGTTATAATGGCAAATTTCCATTGGTTGGACTCCTCTGTGTATATCCCAAATCTTTCGTTTTTCCTTTCCCATTATCTTCTCCTGCCTTGTTCAGTGCAAAGACAGCAAGATAACCCACCACTGCCCTTTCTGGCCTCAATCCTTCCCAATCCACCAGTCCTCACACTCTGATTTCTAAAAATACAAAGATACTGTACTGATGCTCTCCCAGTTTCCAGTCTTCTGGAAACTCTAGGCTACCTACAATATGTAAAGGCTTGCCACTTTCTTCTGGGAGCCCCAGCTGATTCCCACCAGGTCTGGGCTAGTCTCTTGCGAACTGCTACTGACATCTAGCTGCTCCACCTGATTCCCTGTATTCATATCAAAGGCCTTCCCACCCTCCCCACCAGGTCCGGCAGGTGCAAAGCATGCACTTTCGCGGAGAAGCTGTCCTAAATTCCAGAGAGGTGAAAGAGACCTAATGACATGGCCAGAAGGACTCTAATGATCCAGGCTTTATGAATATGCCCCTAGAAAGCCCTCGGGGGTGTACAGACTCAGCTTCTAAGACACTGTGATGTTGTTTGTGGACCTACAAGTTGGGATGCGTCTGGAAAGCAGCTCATGAGAAGGTAGCTTGTGATAAACAGTTCCCCAGCAGAAAACACCCTGGAAACAACCCATATATTAAGAAGCTGCAAATTATGGAGCTGCAAACCTTGGGATGGAAACTACATTTTCATGAGATTTCCATATTTCTTTGTGCTAATGAGACAGACCCAGGAAGCTTATGAGTTCAAATAACTGAATGAAAACAGCAGGGAAAGCTGAATTTAATTTTTTAAGGTCTTCAGAACAATTATTTAATTTTACCTTAGCTTAACTAGTGTACCCATTTCCTGAAGACAAAAAGGAAAAACAGCAAGAAAGAGAGCAAGCGTGTGCCATGCGAGGATCCTGGGCAAAAGTGGCTGCTGAGGACCCACAGCAAAGAGGTGGATCTAATGGATAAAGTTTCAGGCCCACAGGGGACCAATGTATCTCAGAAGAGCAGAAGCCATCCTCTCTGCTGTCCGCAATAATTATCACAAAAGGCACGTAGACATCCTCCACTCCCACAAAGCAGTAAGTCATTCTGTGTTTCTGCCTGCATTATTCTGATGTGCTAAAATGATAACTGTGGAGCAGAGGAAGGAATGTGTGCTCACTCAGAAAAGATGCTTGCTGCAGACAGCTGTTGAGAAACTCCTGAAGAATCATACGCAGGATGGGCAAAGCTTCAAGCCATGCAATATTACATCAGTTTCGGTTCATTCTTACCACCACACCCTGACTCCAATTATGTTCTCCAGTCCTAGTAATGAAATCCAGGTATTCCTTCCTATACACCAGAACTTTATTAGAGTTTTTACCTAGTCTGAGCTTTGCTCCTTTGTATTTAGGGACTGAGTGGAGCATGACTTGGAAGGAAGGGCCAGTCTGATACAGGAGACTTAGGTTCAACTGCAGACTCTCCCAGAGGCGTGCTTTTTGAGTAGATCATTCTGAGCAAGTGTCTCCACACCTCTGTCTCCAGCCTGCTGGAGATATCATGGGAATGCTGCTGGCTTTCATTGTACTGGATAAGTAACATCCAAGGATTCAGGGATAAGGGGAGGTGTCTTTTCAACAGAAATAAGGAGGGTAAGAGCAATAAAATGATGGGCAAATCCATGAATACTGTGATAATTCAGTCCTTCGGTAAATGGGTTTATATAATTGCCATATTAATGGCTATTCCAACCCACAGTCCTGAAACAGGGTGAGGATTTGAGCAAGAGTTTGATCTCACTTGTTCCCTGGTGAAGCAGGCTTAGGGAATTTCTTACAGTGAACGGTTAGTTTCAGAAAGCTGTGGAACGTCTGTCTCTTGCTCAACGGCCAGTAGAAACAGGTTGTCCCAGAGAGAAGGCCATTGCTCCTCAGTCTTAGCAAAACACCTCAGGAAAATGAGCTTAGACTGAATTTTGATGTCGGAAGAGTGAAAGGATTCTTACTTTTTTATTTCTCTGCCTACTTAAGATTTGGAGACATTAAGTGATAGAGAAGAACCTCTAGTTTGTACTTAATCCATCTTCTCCAAGCCAGTGTAGAACTACATTGGGCAATGATTGCTCTGCCAGCTTTATCAGCAATTCTGTCTTTATATTTCCTAGGACAGCAGTCCCAAGCCTCTTGGTAGAACGCAGCACATATTGACGGAGAAATTGCCCATAGGATGTTTCCACCCCCGTTCCCTGTTTCAAAATGCCCACCCTTCCTTAGCAGCAATCACTATCCTTAACGATGAAAACTGCAGAAATATCTTTCACTGAACAACAGGAAATATTTAAAGTACTTTCGCCGTACTTTACGCTCTCCACGTAAAGACACAAATCCTTTGTGAATTACTGAAGAGCCACGATCATATAAGAACCTTTCATCCATGTCCATTAAGAGATCACTCCATGGTCTCACTTGTCTCGTAGCAGAGTGTTCTGGAGTTGTCATTTTGCCAATGGAGAGACTTGAAGGTTAATCTCTGTGTCTCTGATCTTTCCACAAAGTTCTTACATCATTCCTCATACATCATTCGAGAGTCAAACTTCGTATTTATTCTTTCTTTTTCATCTTACATATTCCAACATCAGCACCTTGCATGAAAACTGCTTATTCAACTCAAAATAAAATGAAAATAAATTAATGAGAGATAAAGAGCTCTTTGATGCAATAACCTTTAATGATTTCTTCCTGGTATATAATTTAGGACAGTGTTTTTCCTGGCTTAATGTTGTAAAGTTTGCATCATAAACAAAAAGCTGATGATTCATAAAACATTATTGCTAATGTATTTTTGAAATTAGCAAGAGACATGTAAAGTATCTTCCTTGTCTACCAGGATTCTTGAAAGGAAACTTCCCTTTGAGAAATTATTCTTGGCACCAATGGCTAGAGTAGCCAGCCTTATGGGAAGAAGAAACAGTGGTGACACCCACTGTGGAAGGTATAAATAGAGTTTGACGGCAACGGACAACTCGCAGTCTGATTTAGTATCAAGCTGTGCATCTTGCTTTGGGCTTCTGCTTGCATTTCCAACTGCTGTCGCCATGAGTTGCAACATTAAGGAGACGATTACTATGTCTAGCAAAGGCAGGAGCAGTGGTGGCAGCTGTATCATTGGTGGTGGTGGTGGAGCACGGATTTCTTCCTATGGGATAGGCAGTGGCAGAGGTTTTTCTGGAAGGAGTTACTGCGGTGGAGTGAATTATGGAGGAGGACTGAGTGTTGGTAGCTTGGCTGGTGGGAGCTATGGAGGTGGCAACTGCTATGGCAATGGCCTTGGTTTTGGCCTTGGAGGTGGTGTGGTTGTTGGTGGTCTTGGTGGCGACTGTTTGCTTTCATCCTGCGATGAGAAAGTCACCATGCAAAATCTCAATGACCGCCTGGCTTCCTATCTGGACAAGGTGAAGTGCTTGGAGAAGGAAAATGCTGAACTGGAATGCAGAATCAGAGAGTGGTACGCTACACAGGGCCTCTCCTGTGAGCCCCGGGACTACAGCTGCTATTACAAAGAAATCGAAGATCTTCAAAATCAGGTAACCCCCCTTTCCAGTTGTTCCTCCGCTCTTTAAAGCTTATTTCTGAATTTGTGTTTAGAACCTACTGCAATTGTTAGAGGTAACTTTGGTGCTGTTAAATGTCTTTGCAAACATTTTTGGTGAATTCTCCTGTGAGATACTGTTGAGTGCGGGTGCATAATAAAGATGGCGATACAGGTGGGATAATACTCTTAAAAAGGAAAAGGGTGCTTTGTTAGATTGCATTTTGCCTATACAACTATAAATCTGATATTACCAAGTGTGCTCTGAGGAAACGCAGCGGTGTCAGCCCAGTGGGAAGAGCAAAGCAAAGAGAACTATAGAATATAGATATGTAGAGCAAAGTCTACATATCAAATGCTGTATCAAATGAAGCATTATAAATTCTGGGTGAGAAAAGTTGAATATTTAAAATTGGTTGCTGCAGTGGCACAAAGCCTGATACCAGTCTGTCCATAGTGAAAGTTATGGCTTATCTTAAGGCTTAAAGATACCTTCCAACTATCTTCCCTGGAGATCCTTAAGCCTGAAGCCAAGAACACACCAGCTGAATGTCAGCTGAGCCTTAGTGTCTCAAGGAAGGTTCTTTAGGTTCACTCCTTTGCGAAGTATCTTTAGAACTTGCCTTCAGAGCCTGAAACTGGGAAGTCCCATCTCACAGCTCTTTAAGTCCCAACCTCTACATTCCCAACCTCTTTTCTTTGCTGACTGCGAGTTAAGGAGGCACAGCTACCTCCTGCAACTGCTCTGCTCAAGGAACAAGGTTACTTAAGTAAGAAGGTAACAGAAAAAGGAAATTGTGAAGACCTAACTGCAATCTCGATACACCTGTAGACTGTAGCAGCAGAGGGAAGTAAGACATCATCTCTCATGGTCTGCTCTTTTCCAGATTGTCTGCGCAACCATCGATAACAACAAGATCATCCTGGACATTGATAACAGCAGGATGGCTGCTGATGACTTCCGTGTGAAGTGAGTGCCCCTCTGTGTAGATGAAACCCCCTCTTCCTCCTCCCTGCTCATTCACATCTTACTTGTGGAGTCTCTGTGCTAATTACAGAGACTTCAGGCCAGTCTTACTACACCACCACATTAGGACAGGATGGAGTGATGAAACACATTTTGCTTTCGGTCACCAGCCCTCCCTTAATTAGTGTTCTTCGCTAAAACATTTGGCAACAGTGTTTGTTGGCGAGGGCTGGGGATGGACACTGGAGGGAGCGGTCCTTGGTGGTATAGCTGGCGTGTTTCCATCGCAGACCAGTGCAGATTAGCATCAGCAAACCAGAAATGCAGCTGAATAAGGGATACCAAACATACAGGGATCAGGAGCAGGAAAAAAATAGATGAGAAAGAAAAGTTTTCACATAACAGACATCAACCGCAGTGCAGAAATCTCATGCACAGTGCATTCAGCTTAGACCACAAAATGCAGTTTAGAGCAGGTAGGTGGGAGAGGAGATCATTGCACAGGCTGAGCACATGTGAGATGTTACCGTTCTGAATTTCTGCTTCCTTGCACAAACCAGGTACGAGACAGAGCTGGCCCTGCGCCAGAGTGTGGAGGCTGACATTAACGGCTTACGCCAAGTCCTGGATCAGCTGACGCTCTGCAGGTCTGACCTGGAGGCACAGCTGGAGTCGCTGCGGGAGGAGCTCTGCTGCCTGAAGAAGAACCACGAGGAGGTAGGGGCCTGCCCCTTCCCCAGCAGCACCGTGCCCCGATATAAAACTTTGCCTACATGAACGTGCTTTAAGTTTAAAAGTGAAGATCAGCCACTTTCACAGTGCCACAGCTTTACCCATCAAACACTTTTGGGTTCAGAACCGTCGGCCTCGTGGGTGGTGCGGGAGCTCTGGCAGAGCGGAGGCTGCTGCTCTCGGGGCTGCGCTGGCACTGGGAGTGCCAGAGGGGGGTGAAGATTGCTGCTGACTCCAGTGGATGAGAAATGAAATTACCCAACAGATTTGTTGGGGAAAACGCTCGCACTGTCTTCCAGTGCTTTACAGCCACAGCTGGGAGGCGCCCCTGGCAGGGAGTGCTGCTCTTAGCCACCAAGCTCTGCCCTCCCATGTTCTCTTTCAAAAGCCAGTATGCGTCTGATCTGGGGTGTATTTCCAGGAAATGAATTGCCTGAGAAAACAATCAACTGGAGATGTGAGTGTGGAGGTCAATGCCTGCCCTGGACCGGATCTCAGGCAAATCTTGGAGGATTTGAGATGCCAGTATGAAACACTGATAGCGCGCAACCGCAAGGAAGTTGAGGATTGGTATGAGTGCAAGGTAAGCGACATGTGCCTGCTGTGAAACCAACTGACATGCACGGTTCAGGGCACAGGATCGTTTCAGAAAACAGACATGGAGACAATAAGCAGTTTTTCCTTTACAGTGAAACCCGAGATCAGCACTTGTTATACCCTGTGATCCACAGGAGACATGGGCTTGTCTGACCAGTTTGGTTTGTCCCATCTGGAACAGCAGCATTTGCCGCAAGGCCTCGTGGTGTGTTGCTGGAGCTGAGATATTCTACATTTGGATTAAAGAGACTTAATAGCCACAAGGTTAATGCGATTTATAATATGAGCAAGCAGTAGAAGCTGGCAGTTGATGCCCAGCACACAGAGAACGCCCCGCTCACTTTTCCTTTTGCTAGCTCCTCACTGTATTCTGCTTCTGTAAAAGCAAGTCCAATTTACAGAGATATTCTCTGAAGCTCTTTATTCTGGATTGGTGATTTTCAGATTGAGGAGGTGAATCGGGAAGTTATTACAAGCGGTCAGGAGGTAGAGACGTGCAACAACCAAGTTACCGAATTGAGACGCCAATTGCAAGCTCTGGAAATCGATCTCCAGGCTCAGCTCAGCCAGGTGGGTGGTGACCTTACATACAGCTGCGACGCGGTTACTGCTGGATTTCTTAGCATGAGCAGCCAGACCCACCACCAGCATGACGGTGGTGAATAGCTCTTTCACTTTGGCATTGGAAATAATAACCTCCAGGGTGACCCTGAAATGAATGTTGTTTCTTTGTTCGGTTGTCTTGTTTATCAGAGAAATAATTTGGAATCCTCTCTGGCTGAGACTGAGTGCCAGTACAACACCCTCCTCGGTGAGCTACAGAACCAGATCACATGCGTGGAGCAGCAATTGGCTGAAATCAGAGCGGAAATAGAGTGCCAGAACCAAGAATACAAGACCTTATTGGACGTCAAGTGCCGTTTGGAGCAGGAGATTCAGACCTACCGGTGCTTGTTGGAAGGAGGACAGCAGGATCTTATGTATGTAGATCTCTAAATTATTAAATTAAAATATCAAGGGTCTGTATTATGGATTGGGAATCTGAGATAATCTTTAGTCCATCTTAATGCTTTCACTGAGATGAAAAAGTTGTCTCATAAGCAACTTCACTGGGATGAACGTTCAAATCTGAACTAAATGTGACTCCTTGGGATTTGCAAATCTGTGAACTACTAGTTACAACACTGCGACTACTGGTATTCTGTAAGCATTCGTAACAATCTCTTTTCTACAGTAAGATAGGTGAGAACTGTCAAAATAAGAATTAATTGCAAAGCTCTGCATTGCCTTTTTGTGCCAAAGGAGGGCACAAATGCAAAACAGCTTTGAAAATTAAAAAGAACACAACACAAAATACCTTAACCCCTATAAAAGACATGGTTTGTGTCATGTAGTCAGTCAGCAGTTTCACGTAAAGTTCTAAAATTCCCTATTTCTCTCACCAAATTTATCTCACTAGTCATGGCGGAGGAATCGGAGTAGGAACTGGTGTAGGAGGAGGAGTCATTAGGACAAGCCACACCTATACTACAACTTCATCTTCCCATTGCCAGCCCCAAGTCCCACCCTGCAAGACTGGAGACATACAAGGTAAAAGCCATGTTTCCACAAAAGGAAAAGTGGGGTTTTTTGTTTTGTTCCTTTGTAATAAGGTCAGGAGATGATGCACTCTCCTAGGACACATTATTGGTATCTTCTCTGAGAGTTACTGTGCTACAGGAATGATCTGTCACAACGGAGCCAACTGCAGTGCCAAATTGGCTTTAAAGAGAGCTCTGACTGAATATGGAGTAGCAGAAAGCAAATGAGAGACAAGAGGGAGCTAAAAGGAGAAAGCTGGGGACATGAGGCATAAAGAAAAGAGCTGGAAGTAGAAGTAAAGAACACAACAGCCAAACAGCGCTTAGCAAAAGAGTCTGGAAGGAGTGAAAAGAAGAACCAAACTGTAACTTTACAAGTGCAAATTCCCATTAAAACACAATTATTTAGGGAATTTCTGGAGTTTCTTGGGTTGTCTGCCGACTGCTCTTGTTTAACAGCGTGCATTCTTGACATAAGGGCACTACATAGCCCAAATTTTTGTTATTTGAAGGGTTTTATCTTTGTTCCAATCAGATAATGCTGCTATGTTTTTTTTCTCCAGTGACCTGCAGGAGAATTTGTGATTAAGGAGGAATGGACTAGAAGATGACACACAGAGAAACCCACAGACAAAACAAGAACACTCCATGTTCACTGCACGCCTCTATGCAGAGAAAGTAGATGTAACTCAGTGATGCTTTGCCATGTATCTAAAGGGCCCCATGGGGGGCACCTTCTTCTCTGTTCTGCTACTTCTGTTCTGTAATGCTGTAATCTCTAGAAGTTACTTGAGTTAGTCAGGATCACTAATGTACCTGCTGGTGAAAAAATTGCTCTAATAAAACTTTGCTTCTGCCTGATGCAATCAAGAAACCCGTGTCTGGAAACTGAGTTCCTTTAGAAAACCAGGTGCTGACCCAGGTGCAAATCACAGCCCCAGCTGAGCTAGCTAGCCTGTGCAATGGTCCCAGCAGGAAAAGCTGGAAACCCACGTCCAAGGGTCACCTAAACTGGTCAGGATCATACTCCACTGGGAACAAAGCTGCCTTGCCAGTGGGAGCCAGAGAATGGCCTTGATGAGCTTGCAGGTCTTGTCCACCTCCTCCCTGCCAAAGCCCGTAGTGTACGTTGCCCATTCTTGCATGGGGTCATCCATGATCTACATGAACAGCCAATTCAGGCAGATGCTTGTGTGCTTCCCACAGAGCATTTTGCTTAAATTCATTGCAGAGCTACAAAGGAGGAATTAAGTGGAGCTGGAGCTCATCAATGACAGGAGAACAAAGAGATCAGTGACAGAAATGTCCACGAAAAAACAAGCTCAGGGTGGTGTATATCCACACACAGTTATCAGCTTAGCAGCCATCCCTGGTGCACATCTCCAGCTGCTCTCCAGATGTGTCAGGCATTAAACTGTGAGGTGTGTTGGCTGCTGGGGAGGACGATGTCTGTCGTACACGTCTTAACAGATCTGCAGTCATCTGGGGGAGGGAGGTCTCTTCTGACCTCACCTGTCTTCTGGAGTTCTGTAACATAAGCGTGTCCAAGGGAGTCTGCCTCTCTCAAATCCCATCTCTTCTGCGTCAGACATCTGCTCAGGGAGAGTGACTGTGCAACGCCAGTGCCTCTTCTCTTGGGTGACTGACTGTAAGCAGAGCCAAGAGCAGGTGCTGAGATGACAGCATTCAAATTTTATCATGAATCTTCCCTTCTCTTGAGACAGCAAAGGGGTGGTTGGACATCCGTAGCTGTGCAGAGACACCCGCAGGGTGGGAAAAGCAGATGGCCTGAAAGCCCTTTTTACAGCCTATATAACACAGCACAAAGATTTCTCACGCCTAAGCACATGTAAGATATTTTGGAGTACTTTGCTGAGAAATTAAAAAATATTTGAAGCATAAAAGCAAGTGTATTTTCCCAAATCCCATTCCAAATGCACCACACACCTGGAAGAATAGCATGTCTGCTGCTGCTCATGGTCAGCTTGTGCACTGCAACAAGCAGGGAGAGGGGGACGGGGGGCTAAGGGAGGATGGGATTTTGGTTTTGAAGCAGAGAAGCAACAAGGCTGATCCCTGGTAGACAGGGCTGCGAGAAGCAGTGGGGATGCGGAGAAGGCAGAGCTGGGAGAGGCACCACTGGCTCCCCGGGCCCCGCCCCGGACGCAAGCAGAAACGGCTGACACTGGGTTTCTGGCTGATGTGCACCAGGGGAGGAAGAAGTCACTGCCAGCAGCACACACCCCTTCCCTGGTGTTGTGCCAGGTTTGCCATGTTGCTCTTCCCAGGCTGTGATTTCTCCCCGGCAGCTGCCACTGTTGCACAAACAGTTGTACAAACCGCTGGGCTCCTGCAGACATGCCACCTGCCCCTCGCTCCCGGCTGAGGATTTTGGCTCAACAGCGTGAATCAAACCCTCCCCGAAGTGAGAGACGTTTCTCATTGAAACTAAAATCCTGTGAATTTGGCACCTGCGTTTTCACTTTCTATCGCACTTGGCATTTCCCTCTCGCCACCACCTAAGGAAATACCGACCTGAAGCATGTGCAAAAATATCTATACTGTTTTGTTTTGGGTTTCTTTTCGGAGAAAAGAGAAAATGAACATGTATTTGCTTGTGAGCAAAGGGCAAAACTCGTAGTCTATCCAGCTTGTACCAAGACTGAAGAAAAAGTTTTTCATGAGCACTATTTGATTTCAGATAAAAACTTCAGAGGAGCTGGAATAATAAATTATCATTGTGTGTAAATGCTGCTTGTGCCAAAGAACAAGGAGAGGGAGGAAGTGTCTGGTAAATACCAGCAGACCAGACATCTCAGTACTTTCCAGATCTCTCCATAAGGTGTCAGCTGTTCTTAACCGGCAGATCCAAATGAAATTCTGACCTGCCAGTCTTCTGGTCCCCAGTGCCTGGTCTGGCACAGTCCTGTCCTGCTCTCGTTCCGCCTCCCCGGGGAGGGTAACCGGTGCATTACCACAGTACGTGAGCCTGAGATCAGATACTCTGCTTAAAGTGGGACTTGTATTTAACTAAGAGGCCAGGAGATGCAGATAAGTTTGGCTAATACTATCTGTGGCTAAATGGAACTTGCTGTTAGATTATACAACAAAAATACAATAATAAGTAATTAAAATAATATTATATAAAAATGTAATTATACATCATGTACAGTAATTTCAGTACTGTCCAGGGCCACCTGCACTGCACAGTCCTCTAATGCATCGGAAGATGCAATTATGGCACCGCAGTGGCGCGGGGATGCATCCCCTCCTGCCGCTGCCAATCCCTGCGCCCACGGTGCTGAGCGATCAGACGCATTTTGCGTTTCACTACGTTGGATATTTGGAGATGCAGGAGAGGCCCAACACAGGCCCCGCGCCACGGTCTGCATCCTGCTCTCTAGAGGGCACTCGGCTCTCACCGAGACTGCTGAAGGGTGCCGAAGGCAGCTGCAAACCCAGCTCTGATTGCTCGGCTCATTTTCTTCTAACAGAAATACGCAGCTGAACAGACAAAGTAGCATCTGCGGCATGTGCTGGGGAGATCCTGCTAGCCGAAAACACGGAACAAGCTATCAGCCCTGACATCTTGCTCCAGCTTGCTCACCAGTATTTAATGGTCACATTTGTAGTGAGGTTGACATGGCCTGATTCTCTGTGTGTGACTGCTGCGGGAGATGACACAGGCTTCCTCCCTACCTCCTCGAAGACCCCAGCTGTGTTCTCCTGTGTGTAAGTGCACAGAATGGGCGCCAGGTTGAAACTCACTGCACCGATTTGCCAATACGTGTTTAGGTTTTTTGAACGGCACTGGAATATTTTGTGTCATGCCATTAGGCAGGAGCGCAGTGAAACCCAGGGTCTCTGGTGGGGTTGTAATTGTGTTACGGTGACCCTTTGTTGATGAAGGTCTTGCCAATGAGGTAGCATTGGCTGAGACCCCAAAGAGTCAGCCGTGCAAGGGGCTGATTAGACCCCAAATGACAGTTTCCGACCAAAGGGTTTGTACTGTAAAAGCCTCTGACAGCCCTGACTCACCTAATTACTGTTCCTATCATAATCACCATCGTTCCATTGGGTGGTGGATCTTTTGAAGGTGCCCTTTAATGTTTCATCAGTACTAGTCTCTGCAATAACAAATGAGTAACAGATCAAGTATAATGTATGCAAGAATTATTTTTTTCCTAAAGGAGAGATGTTTGCTGGACTGGATACTGTTGACTGCCCTTGCATGGAGGGCAGCAGATCACCTCCCAGTGCTGCAGTCCGGGTTTAATTTAATGCTGCGCTGTGTTAGGACCATCAGATGCAACGAGGAAGAGACGTTCCAGGGCTATTCCCTGTGACCACACATCTCGGGGTGTGGGCAGATGCCAAGACTTACACCCTGTCTTGCAAAAGAGAGCAGGAGAGGTGGGGACTTACTCTCTCAGTTCAAAACAGATTATTTTAAAAACCTTCACTTAAAAAAAGCAAAAGTGTGCTTTGGCATGCAGGGAATGATCATATGCAGATGGTTTACATGGAATTTCACTGAGCTCTCAAAATGCACTTTATGTTATTCATGTGGCCATAAATATACACAGGAAGAAAGAAACAGAATGAACAACCCATCCTGTGTACTGTTCCACTAAGTAATACTAAATATATCTGAAGATGCTCCTACCAGGCACCAGGGGTTGATGGCAGTTGTACAAACTGCTCTGGGAACAACCCAAAGTCCACTGGTTGAGTGTCCCACTGCCAGGAGAAGAACGGGACACAGGTTTTTGACACAACTATTTCTAATTATAAAAATGCCTTTAGGGAAAATCCCACTTTTCACTGGAAATAATTGGTACTGACAACATTTTCAACCCCAAATATTTCTGGATGGAACCACTGCCAGGCACCAACAGGTGAGTCAGTGGGGAAAAAAGATTCCAAAGTGCGTTGTGCCCTCGCTACGGAGCAAGCAGTTGGGAATCATTAGGTGGGAATTACTTTTTGTTTAGAAATCTCAGTTAATGCATTATTAAAATAATAAACATGATTGAGCCCTAATATGTTTCTACTAATCTGAATCCAGTTTTCTTAGATTTTTCAGTTTTCAAACATCTAGCTTTTTATCGGGATAAGAAAAAACCTTCTTCATTTAAATTTCAGTGGAGAGGAGAACAGTTTCATGCCAGGTGTTAGGCAGCTGAACCTCAGCGGAAGGAAGAGCAGCTATCATCCTCAGAACGAGAACGGTGTTCTCCCTCCAACAGTCATACTTCAGGAACTGGGTTTCTTCTTTACTATGGAGAAATATTGTTCTGTGGGATTATCTGGTGTTAATGAAATTGCTTAATGATTATACAATGGAAGTTAGTTTATAAGGTTTAATTACGAGAATGAGTCATATTCCCCAGATAGATCGTCCACGGTTTTTCTCTGTGTAGCAACATAAGCAAATTGAATTTTCCTGACAAGAACTGACTAGAGGTAGGAAGGATGGAAGAGGATTCGTGACCACTGAAGCATCGAAAAGGGTGGGTAAGAGTCCAGTCGTGGCCTCCAGATGCGCTCAGCAGCCTCAGCAGTTTCTCCCAAAGACATCAGTCCAGAGGAGGCTGTAAATGCAGAGCTCAGAAAAGCTGGTGCCATGGGAGCTGATGGGAGCTTGCATGTGCTCAGCCCACACACCCATCACCGTGCCATCGCCCCAGCCCCCACGGAGGCCATTTTAGCCCTTACTGCTGCCACACACACCCCAAAGGAAAAAAGACTTCATTCTCTCCCAGCCTCCGCTTTCAGCCAACGCATGTCAGCCAACGCATCATCTGCGGAGCACATGATAATCCTGCCTTTAAGTGCACTGGGCGAATTCATGCCCACACCAGGTGAGCCTTTCAGGCTTAAATAGTCCACCTTCCTCTTCTGGGCAAGGAGCTCATAACAGTTTCATCACAGGAAAAGGGAAGAGGCCTCACTGCAAACAACTATGGTGTCATCGGCCCCCAAGGCATCTTCCTCCTCCTCCTCCACCCCCTCCTATCTTGGCTGTGACCTGAAGCACATCAGTCATGCAAGGGCAGCTTTTCCTGAATGCCATTAAAGTCTCAGCTTTGAGGGTACATCGTGACTGTATGTTCTCTCCATTACTTATACTCAGTGCAAAAAGAAACGCCAATCCATTTCAAAACAGATCACAAGCGGTGTTCCCCAGGGCTCAGTGTTGGGTCCAGTTCTGTTTAACGTTTTTATCAACAATCTGGGCACCCTCAGTCAGTTTGCAGATGACACCAAATTGGGCGGGAGTGTGGATCTGTGGAGGGGAGGGGGGCTCTGCAGAGGGACCTGGCCAGGCTGGATCCATGGGCCGAGGCCAATTGGGTGAGGTTCAACAAGGCCCAGGGCCAGGTCCTGCACTGGGGTCACAACAACCCCATGCAATGCCACAGGCGTGGGGCAGAGTGGCTGGAAAGCTGCCTGGCAGAAAAGGACCTGGGGGTTTTGGTCGACAGGTGGCTGAATATGAGCCAGCAGGGTGCCCAGGTGGCCAAGAGGGCCAACAGCATCCGGGCTTATATCAGGACTGGTGTGACCAGCAGGAGCAGGGCAGTGACCGTGCCCCTGTCCTGGGTACTGGTGAGGTCACCCCTCGAATTCTGGGGTCAGGGTTGGGGCCCTCACTCCCAGAAGGACCTTGAGGGGCTGGAGCATGTCCAGAGAAGGGCACCGGAGCTGGGGAGGGGTCTGGAGCCCAAGGCTGCTGGGGAGCGGCTGGGGGAGCTGGGGGTGTTCAGCCTGGAGAAGAGGGGGCTGAGGGGAGCCCTCATCGCTCCCTACAACTGCCTGAGAGGAGAGGGGAGGTGGGGCGGGTCGGGCTCTGCTCCCAGGGAACGGGTGATGGGACAAGGGGAAACGGCCTCAAGTTGTGCCAGGGGATGTTTAGATTGGGTATCATGAAAAATTCCCTCACTGGAAGGGTTATCAGGGACTGGAAGGGGCTGCCCAGGGCGGTGGTGGAGTCCCCATCCCTGGAGGGATTTAACAGACGGGTAGCTGAAGTGCTTGGGGACATGGTTTAGTAGTGGACAGGTACTGTTGGGCTCAATGATCTTAAAGGCCATTTCCAATCAAGTGATTCAATGAGTCTATGGAAACAAGTCCCCTGTTTTAAATCTCTCCTTGCAGTTCAATCCACACTTTTATTTTATACCAGCGCGAGAGGCAGAGGCAGCTTCTCTGGAGCAGCCTTTCAGAGGTCTCTCAAGCAGAAAAGAATCCAAAAGAGCTCTTTAGTACTCATAAACAACACACCTGAGACTCTGCCTGAATACCTGTGAGCAGCCAGGGCTGAGGATGCACAAGACAGAGCCTGTAGGAGACATTCACTGGTGATAAATGAAGGCTCCTGCCCTGTCGGACTGTTCAGCCTCTCCCTAAGCACAGCCATAGCTGCCTCAGCCCCGGCTTCTTGCAGCAACTGAAGTTTTCTCAGTTTTCTTCATCTGCCCACGACTGAGAACTGTCCTCAGTGTGGTCAAAGGAAATGTCAGTGCCCGTTTCCAGCATTGGTAAGCCCACTGAGGTGTGCAAGTAAAGTGAATTCAGCCTCTCAGCTGGTTGCTGAGCACTGCACCAGGGAGCAGTGCCAGGCAGTTCTGAGGCTGGGCAATGCCAGCGGAAGCCTTCACGGCTCCTCGTGCCGTACTCACTGCACCGCAGGGTGTGATAGCAAAGGGCACACTGACTGAGGGTGGACGTGCCTTGATGTGTTTGTGGAGCAGCAGCTTGATGCTGCAATAAGCAGCACCAGCCCAAGATTTCATAACGTTTCACTGTCCCGTTTCATACTTGGGTTCCTTGCAGTTCCTGCAGAGTTTATTGAAATCACTCTTCTGAGAGGTTTTCCCAACCCACCAGGTTCTCTTCTGCAGCACTTATCGCTAGATTTTCCTGGAAACATTATCTAAGATTATCTAGTTAGCTCAGTATGCATGCAGATTCTTGGACAGCCCTATGAGACATAACTGCAAAGAAATCTACCATTTTATAAAGCAGCTTCCACCTTACAGCAAACTTTGAAATAAAACATTCTTTTCAGGAACCATTTGTTCCACAACTTCTATCCCTGACCCTGGACAGTCATTTCCAGATACACCGAATCGATCAGGCTTCTTCATTTTTAAGGAGCTAATATTCACTTTTGAGGTATGCTGCCTGCACAAATTCTAGGGAAGAAACAGCATTAATCTTCCTTTCATGTATTAAACATGAAGCTGTGAAGTATGTTGCACACAAACATCCTCACTGATATTCAAACCATCCAAACATGTTCTTTTGGGAATGGAAGACATGAAGCTTAGTCCACCTGAAAGGAATGACTCGTACAGAAGATGTAATAAACATCTTCCCAGACAAAAAAACCACAAACAAACCCTTACCCTTCTGCAGAATTATACAGAAAAACACAGAAACGTACCCATGTCCTTATAACGGGTGTCAGCAACTGGCAGCCAACAGTTAAACAGAACGTAACCCAAGTATCAGCCAAAGTAGCTGCTAGTATAGAAGAGAATTTTGACTGCTTCAAGACAAAAGGATTTCTCACTGGAACAACCTAAAATTATGACTTAGACTCTGCTAAGTTTTGTAGTGAATTATTTGAATTTCTACAAGCCCGAGAAGGCCTTGCTTCCTCAGACATTTCAGAAATGAGGTCTAGCAGAAGATGAAACTTCAGGTGTGTCCTACTGTGTGGGCGAGGGTGTGCTGGGAGGGGCATTTATAAAAAGATGTTTCCGCAAACACTTGCTATAAGCCATAACAAACAACCCTCTCAATTAGCAACAACCAACATTGCAAAGGCTGAGCGAGAAAAGAATAATAAAGCAAATCAATGCAGGAAGTTGGATATCACACAACTTGTTCAACCTACAAAGAATGGCCGCTAACAGACTGCATTCTGCTAAAGATGATGCGCCTGGGAAGGCAGACAGGCATGAGAGGCAGTCAGGAAAGACATTTCAAATGTTTGAGGCTCAGGTTGCTGTAAGAGCTCAGAAGATGGATGCTCAGCTGAACTATCCACTGCTATGTATTTGAAAAAGGTACAGTCTTAAAAGAAGATGCAAGATAGCAAATATTTCCTACTTTTGGTCATGCTGTGTCCATGAATGGAAAACAAAATCGAAGGGAAGATGCTGTTTTGATGTACAGCTTATTGACTTAATCCCCCAAACAGGAACTTCACCTTTCTCCTCCAAGTATGTTTGTGTTTGCACTGTGGAAGAAAAACATCCTGACTGGAATTTTGAAATCCCTTCAGGAGTGAGAACATCACAGCTCATATTCCCAGACATGTCAAGAGAGACTGGCCGAGAGCCAGGATGCTTTCCCAGGTCCCTCGACCACACCGTAACCTCCATCCGAGCAGACGAAGGGTTATTCCCTGCACCAACCTGTCCCACTTCCTTTCCCTA